CTTCCCGAACGGTAAGAAGATGTTAATGCGCGTATTTTGGACGGTACAAACAATAAATTAATTACCTATCGCTTTCTTGCGAGCAGATGTCGTGGTCGGCTGCCAAGCGAACGGGTGGATGGAGGCTGCGGGCGTCATCCAGTGGCTCGATGCGGGCGTGGTGTCGTTCCTGAAACCAATATTCGGCGTGCAGAGTCGGAGCGCCATGCTGGTACTCGACTCCTACCGTGGTCACCTAACATCCGAAGTCAAGGCGAGATTCGCGGCGCTCAATTTCGTGCCTGCAATCATCCCAGCAGGATGCACGGCAGACTTGTAGCCGCTCGATGTGTCGATCAACAAGAGCTTCAGAGCGAGTGTTCGCCAGCAATACCAGAACTGGTTTGAGCAGGACGGCGTGACCATTCTGACACGTGTAGGTGAGCGACGACATGTCTTCCCGTCTCCCCTTCGTGTGCTTTTTGCGTGCTTGTGGACTCGTGTGTTCCCCACTCCCTCCCGTGTTTGTGGTGCAGGGAACATCAAGAAACCACCTCCGAGGGTGGTGCTCAAGTGGATTTCACGGGCGTGGAAGGCTGTGCCCGCCGACCCGATTAAGAAATCATTCCTCACGTATATCAGCAATGCCCTCGACGGTAGCGAAGACAATCTGGTGATGGCGCACCGGAGAAGCCAACTGAGCCACGAGGTAGAGGTAGACGATGACATCCAAGCAGACGGGTTCCGGGGCAACAACTCCACGGAGCCTGAATCGGACTAGGAGGAGCAGGCCTAAGGCTAGACTAGGCATGATGATGGTGTTTAGGCTAGGACCAGGGCTGATTTTATCAGGGTAATTACCCTAATTTTAGGGTGATTACAGGCTCCTCACCTGGTGGTTCCTGCAATTACAGTTTTTTTAACTTGTGAACTCTGATCCAATCAGATAAGTTACTTAACGAACCCTGAAATCTTGTAACTAGGCTCAGAGTAGTGTACTTGCGGTATCTGTCTATGTAGAGTACCGACATCTCCCGGATAGTAGACAGTGTTGAATAGTAGACAGGGTTTGTTTATTATCCGGGTGTCTCTAATAAACAGGCTAGCCTCATTATATGACACCTATTTGTGTGTACGTGTTAAGCCAGTGTGGAGGTTAGGGGCAATCGTATAGCGAGGGGGTATCTTCTAAACGGTTCTTTGTCCATTTATAAGATTTATAAGAGCATAAACCGTCCCAAATACAAGACAACCCAAGCATTTTTTCCCGTGTACGAGATAAGACATATATGTCTACTATCCGGGCGATGACGATACGCGTTCTGTGGACCCTTAATGCGGGGGTATCGGGATGAAGGTTCTTTGAACTTTTCTTCCGATAACCCCGCCTTCGGATTGATCGCGTGATCCCCCCCCCCCCCCCCCCCCCCCCCCCCCCTCCCCCCCTCCCCCCCCTCCCCCCTTTATCGAGCCGAAGTTTCTTCAAAACTTCTTTCTGATATACCGCCAAAGTGATCGGGCGAATCTGCAATATCAGATATATTTTGTTGTGATTGGTCCAAATAGTTCTGCTCTTACAGCGGAAATCTGTGACTCGAACAGGTTTGACTCGCTCCTGGATGCACGCCTCTGAGGGTGACTAAAACGTTACAGTCGCAGCGCGTCTAAAGAGATCCGATTGGGCATGGTAATAAGACAGGGAAACGTTACACTCGCACACCCGATAGGTCAATCGCACCCGCCCTGCACAAAATAGTCGAGTGCACAGCCAGCGCGAAACACAGCGCGCAGGCTTCATGGAGAGTGGGACATTTTTCCCCGGTAACAAAGAGTGCGTTACTACACTGATGTTCGATTCTCGACCCTGAACAATCAGAGTTAACTACTTTACAACCTTGAGCAATCAGGGTATTGTTTTTCTGGAAAATGTGCACCCATAATAAAGGGGGAAATTTTTCCCCAGAATCAGGGAGGACTAAAATGAAGCGTCAGCCCTGGCTAGGACCCTAGTCACCCTACTGTATGTGAATGTTTGAGTTAATGGAAAATTGTAGCTAGGAAAACTGTAGCTTGGATGGAGATAGTAACAAAAATGGCAAAGTTTTAACATACAATCTTGTTTATACAGCAAGGGTGCGCTTATAATTGAGGATCGGCCATAAGCGCATTGCTCCACATCAGGGCCTCAGATTCGTTTTGAGGTTGGCTCATTGATCAGCCTCAGTACAAAAAAAAAAAAAAAAAAAAAAAAAAAAAAAAAAAAAACGCTGAAAAATCAGTCGTAGTTATTAAAAAAACGCTGGAAAATCAGTGTCACTACAAATTAAAGTCTGATTCAATAGCTTATACAGAATTGCACCTGCACTCGCTGCCGCTCAGGGTCGGCAAGCGCGCCAGCTCATAAAATGTGCAGGCTAGGGGGAGCGGGTGCTACGGGGCGGACTTGGGGCGGGCCACGGGGCAGGCTGTGGGGTGGGCTAAGCTAAGGTGCGGTACGTATATGGGGCAGATCACAGGGCAGGCTATGGTACGGACTATGGGGCGGGCTACGGGGCGGGCTGCGGGGTGGGCTAAGGTGCAGTATATGGGGCAGATCATGAGGCGGGCTACTGTGCGAACTATGGGGCGGGTTACGGGGCAGGTTACAGTAGTACGAAAATCAGTGTTCTCGTTACACTCAAGGCTGATGAATCAGCAGCGTACAGTCTAGAAAAAATGCTGAAAAATCAGCCTACAAGTGAAAAAATTTACTGAAAAATCAGCCTCCACTTCAAAAAATGTCTGACATTTTTAGATTTTTTTACCTAAATCAGCCTTTTTTCGCTGAAATCTGAGGCTCTGCTCCAGATAGAAGCGCATGCGCTTTTAATAGGCCTGCGGTTATATCCGGGGATTGTGACAAGACTCTACAAGGAGTCTGCAATGCAGTCGTCATAGGGTGGGCCTTTCGTAGCATAGCTCGTATTTACGGTAAACTACGGTCGATGACGTATTGCTCACGTTAACATGTTGATGCATTTGTTACATGGTATGCTAACAATGTTGCCTTGAGTATCAAGGCTCAAGACTAGTGGCATATTGCTGCAAAGGAGTTGTGAAGCACATACCAAACTTTGACACATTTCCAACGTGTACAATGCATACAGTTTGCGTAACCAGTTACAGTACAATCCGGTGCCATTCATAGGGCATTTGTTGTCACCTAACAGCAAACAGACAGTATCGAAGTTAGCGCCTCTGTAAATACGGTAGCAATATGTGTGCAAGGTTCAATTTTTGTAGGAACCTTGAAAAGGGGAACCAACGGAAAAACATGCTAGACAATATGGGGAATTTTATGAAGCGTGAGTCATTACCACATGGGACATAATCAATAACGTGGATGTGTGAGAGCAAAATAAGCAACCCGCCTCTCAACAAGATCAACCTTTTGCGTAGACCGAAAGGTTCACATCACATTAGTTGTAAGGTTAAATGAGCGCATAGAAGCGACAACCAACCAAAAATTTCCAATCCATTCTCCAGCATTATGCCGGTGACGTGCATGCTCATGACACAAGTTTGTGTTAACACAAGTGCAATGATTTTGACAAATTGCATGCTAGATCGATATCTTCCTCTTTTGGTGGTGTGACTTCATAGAAGACGAAAACGTCAATGCGAGGGGCTGTGAAATGGTCAATCCAATGGGGTATACACGTCACAACGGATCCAAAGATCACGTAAGTGTGCACTATCCGCATGCACTTTCGTGTGCTCGTGGGTTTTTCTGCGAATAATGTTCATATATGATATGTGAATGTAAGAAGGTCCTTGTGCAGGTATCTAAGAATGCTATAAAAACGGCTTGTGGCTCCCAGGGAGAGCCTTCATTTAGCACATGGATATGCTCACACCAAGACACGTGTATCGCTTGACGAAGCGCGAAAGACTATATTGTATTCTGGAAACTGCTCCGAAATGCAGACCTTGTTAAAAACGCATGCTGAAAATCAGGGATTGAACATAAAAATGTTGAAGTTCGACAATGATGACGTGTTTACAATAGGTCTCAAGACGATGGAAATTCTTCTCTCTCTTTTTTTTTTTTTTTAATCGCCAGCTGTCCGCCATTATTGCGGTCATAGCATCATCAGTTGTACATGTCAAACATTATATATGTTGGGTTTGTTAGGCTACAGTGGGTTAGCCTATATGGGGTACACAATTCTAGGGTTTGCTATTTGTACTGATTTCTCTGTTAGTTCAATCATTCCAGTCTCTTCTTTCTGACATGGTTTCAGAGCAGGTCCTTCGCTAGGACCGTTCTTAGGGCCCACCACTGACTACCTACCTACCTATCTACTGTCGGAGCGTCGCGTTAGCGCCTCCCCCTCAGCGCCCTCGTGCGCCCTCGTGTACGGCCCCTTAAGGCCCCGTCGACCCCGCGCGCCGCCCCTTAGTGACTCGCGCGTCGCGCCTTAGAGGCCCCGTCGACCCGTGCGCGCCCCGCTTAAGGCCCCGTTTGGCCCCGTCGACCCGCCCGCGGCCCGCTTAGTGGCCCCGCTTAGCCCCGTCGACCCGCGCGCGCCCCGCTTACGGCCCCGTTTGGCCCCGTCGACCCGCCCGCACCCCGCTTAGAGGCCCCGTTTGGCCCCGTCGACCTACGCGCGCCCCGCTTACGGCCCCGTTTGGCCCCGTCGACCCGCGCGCGCCCCGCTCACGGCCCCGTCTGGCCCCGTCGACCCCGTGAGCGCCCCGCTTAGAGGTCCCGCGGCCCCGTCGTCCGCCACCACACGGTCCCTCGACCCCGCGCGCGCCCCGCTTAGCGGCCCCACGGCCCCGTCGAGCCCCGCTTAGAGGCCCCCGCGACCCAGTCCCGCCCCTCTTAGCGGCTTCGCGCAGCCGCGCAGCCCGAACCGAGCCGCGCCGCCCTACCTGAACTGAGCCGCGCCGCCCTACCGAGCCGCGTCGACCGTTCTAGCAGCCCTGTTGATCCTACTGCTACTGCTACTGCTACTACTGCTACTACGGCTACCACTATGGCCAGTCCTCCCGTACTTGCTTTCGATGCTGAGGGCCGCCCAGTGAAGTTTGACACCTGGCTCGATGACCTGCACCTTTTCCTACAGCTCACTGCCAAGGAGGACATCTCACTGTATGACCACGCCCTCGGCCATGCTCCTGCCCCTGCTACTGATGCTGACAGCACTACCCGCTCCCAGTGGCAGACTCGTGACGCCCACGCTCGCTTTGCCATCCGCAACTCCCTGCCGTTAGATGAGCGCGAGCACTTTGGCCAGTGCAAGACTGCTAGGGACCTCTACACCGCTGTAGTTGCCCGTTACTCCTCACCCGCTTCTGCTACGCTAGGCCGCCTCACTCTTCCCTACCTGTTCCCCGACCTAGCCTCCTTTCACACTGTCGCAGACCTCATCACCCACCTTAAGACTAGTGAGGCCCGCTTTCGCGCTGCTATGCCTGCCGAGTTTCTCACTAGCAACCCCCCCCCGCTCTGGATCACTCTCTACCACATCGTCACCCGCCTCCCTGACTCTCTGCGCGCAGTCAGGGACCACTTCCTCTCTCGCTCCCCCACTGAGCTCACTGTTGCCCTCCTCGAGAAGGAACTGCTTGCAGCTGAGGCGAGCATCGTCGCTGTAGGCACCTCTCGTGGCGACCCCCGCACCCCGTTCTTCGAGGGGTGTTCCCCTTCCCCCCTCCTCCCCTCTGTCGCCTCTGCTGCTGCTGTCGACCTCCTTGGTGCTGAGAAGGTCGGGACCGCGTCTGCTTCGAGCGGGCGCCGCAGGGGCAAAGGGAACAGGGGTGGGGGTGGTGGCGGAGGAGGTGGGGGTGGAGGCGGTGGGAGTGGAGGCGCGGCTGAGGAGGCTAGTGGCGGTAGTGGGGGAGGCGACAGCAGCGGCGGGAGTGGTGGCAGGGGCGGAGGCGGCAGCGGAGGCGGAGGTGGTCGTGGTGGCGGCAGGGGTGGAGGTGGCCGGGGCGGAGGCGGAGGGGGTGGTGGTCGTGGGGGCACTGGCGGAGGGCAGAGTCAGCAGCCCGCCCCGACGCTTCAGGCCGCCCGTGAGTGGTATGCGCAGCGTGGCTTTACCTGCACGTACGTCATTCGCACAGGTGACCGCACCGGCCAGCAGTGTGGGAGGCTGCACCCCACGCAGCGCTGCTTCGCCCGCCTTACCGACGCGTGGCGCACCCAGTTTCCTACTGCCACTGAGCTGCCGCGCTGGGCTGAGCTGGAAAAGAGGGGTGTTGATATTTGGGCTTTAGACTTTGATGCTATTCTCACTGCCATGTATGCGATGTCTATTAGTGGAGAGGGTGCTCAGTACTTGCGTGTTCCGCCCGACCCAGGCATTCAGGCCAGTCCGGCTGCCGCCCTAGGTGCTAGTGCGTCCGCTCCCGCAGGTCCTAGTGAGGCTGCTGCCCTAGGTGCTAGTGCGTCTGTGCCCCCTGGTACTGAGTCGACTGCAACACTGCACACCTTCACACTGGACTCAGGTGCTTCTCGCTCCTTCTTTCGTGACCGCACTGTCCTTGAGCCCCTCGCTCGGCCAGTTGCTGTCTCCCTTGCTGACCCCTCTGGGGGTCCGGTCATTGCGACCTCCTCCACTGTCCTTCCTTGTCCGGCGGTCCCGTCCGGCACGCTGTCCGGTCTCTACCTCCCCTCGTTCTCGACGAACTTGGTGGCAGGTAGTGCGCTCCAGGACGGGGGTGTTCACCAGTTCACCCCTGCCTACGAGCGCGTGACACACTGCACGTGTGCTCGGACGGGTCGCCACCTGGCTACCTTCACTCGGGAGCCGGGGTCGGACCTTTACACACTGACCACTGTGTCCCCTCAGGTAGCTGCGTCTGCGTCTGCGTCTGCGTCAGGTCAGCTGTCCGCCCCCTGCTCGTGTCGCTCTCTGGCACATGAGACTGTCCTTTGGCACCACCGCCTTGGTCACCCGTCTGTGCAGCGCCTTCGGGCCATGCACCAGCGGGACCTTGTTGCTGGTCTTCCCAGGGTGCTCCCTCCCCTTCCCGACTCGCCTGCTCCTCCCTGTATTCCCTGTGTCGAGGGACGGCAGCGCGCCGCTCCTCACTCCTCCTCCTTTCCCCCGACGACTGCCCCCTTGCAGACGCTCCACATGGACGTGTGGGGCCCAGCCCGCGTCCGTGGTCAGGGTCAGGAGAGGTACTTCCTGATTGTTGTTGACGACTTCTCGCGCTACACCACGGTCTTCCCCTTGCGCGCCAAGGGTGACGTCCCTGATGTCTTGATCCCTTGGATCCGCAGATCTCGTCTCCAGCTCCGTGAGCGTTTCCGCTCCGACTTCCCTGTCCTGCGTCTGCACTCTGACAGAGGTGGGGAGTTCTCCTCTGGCCTATTGGAGGCCTTCTGTCAGCAGGAGGGCATTGAGCAGTCGTACACGCTTCCGGACTCTCCACAGCAGAATGGGGTTGCTGAGCGCCGCATTGGTCTGGTCATGGAGGTCGCTCGTACCTCCTTGAGCCATGCGGCTGCCCCCCATTTTCTGTGGCCGTTTGCAGTCCGATACGCTGCGCATCAGCTCAACCTCTGGCCCCGTGTCTCCTTGCCCGAGACTTCTCCGACACTGCGTTGGACGGGAGAGGCTGGCGATGCGTCGCGTTTTCGGGTTTGGGGATCCCGAGCTTTTGTCCGCGACACGTCCGCGGACAAGCTCTCCCGTCGCGCTGTCCCCTGCGTCTTCCTTGGCTTTGTCCCGGACGCCCCTGGTTGGCAGTTCTACCACCCCACCTCGCGGCGTGTCCTGGCCTCTCAGGACGTCACTTTTGACGAGTCCGTCCCCTACTACCGCCTCTTCCCCTACCGCACTGCCCCGCTCCCCCCCCCGCCTCTCTTCCTCGCTCCAGGTGCTGAGGTACCAGACCCCCTTCCCCCTCAGGGTGCCGCTCCCTCAGGTGTGTCCCAGGTAGACCCGGGTGAGCCTGTCGAGGTAGCTGTTGACTCTCGTCCTGCTCGGGGTGCTGAGCCTGGGGGTGCTGCGTCTGGGGGTGCTGAGCCTGGGGGTGCTGAGTCTGGGGGTGCTGAGCCTGGAGGTGCTGCGCCTGGGGGTGCTGGGTCTGGGGGTGCTGCGTCTGGGGGTGCTGAGCCTGAGCGTGCTACACCTGGAGGAGCCCTCTCCTCCCAGCAGCTGCAGGAGAGGTACCTCGAGTACTGCCGCCTCCGGAGAGGTGCTGCTGGAGCTCGTCCCGGTACTTCCCCTCCTCCCCAGGAGCTCCCCCCCATTCAGCAGATCCGCGAGTGGTACACACGGCGCTGCAGTCTTCGGAGTGGTGCTCCTGGTGCTGCGGACCCTGGGGGTGGCGCTGCTGCTGGTGCTGAGGACCCGGACGTTGGAGCTGCTGCTGGTGCTGCGGACCCGCCTGGTGGAGCTGCTGCTGGTGCTGAGGACTCGGACGTTGGAGCTGCTGCTGGAGCTGAGGACCCGGGCGGTGGCGCTGCTGCTGGTACTGAGGACTCGGACGGTGGAGCTGCTGCTGGACCTGAGGACCCGAGCGGTGGCGCTGCTGCTGCTGCTGAGGACCCGGGCGTTGGAGCTACTACTGGTGCTGAGGACCCGGCCGGTGGAGCTGCTGCTGGTGCTGTGGACCCGGCCGCTGGAGTCTCCTCTGCTTCTGGAGACGCTGCACGGCCGCGACCGTACTTCGTACCGCTCCTTCAGCAGGTTCTTGGGCAGGCTCCTCCTCCTTGTCCTCCTCCCTCCGTAGAGTGTCCTCTGCCTGTCCAGTCGCAGTCACAGTTACCGCCTACCTCGCCTCTCCCTGCTCCCTCTCCTTACACTGGTCCCACAGGAGGTCTTACAGAGCGTCGTGAGCCTGAGTCTCGTCCTGCATCGCCTGTTCGTCCTGCTTGCACTGGTAGTCGTGTCCGTTGTGAGCGTCCTCCTCCTGTCCCAGGCACTCACTACATGACTCTGCGTCCCTCTACTGCTCCTCAGCGTGTCCCTCTACCGTCTCCTCCCGCGTCTTCTTTGCCTCACGTTCCGGACCCTGAGTCTGACCGGTACCGTGCTGAGCACCCTACTGTCACGCGTCTCCTCGCTACTGTTGTCACTGACCCTACCTTTGAGTCCTCGACTGCGTCTGCTCTGGTCGCTGAGTTGGTTGACTTTGCTGCTGCCTGTCGTCTAGACTACGCTGCTAGCCTTGTTGCTGAGTCTGAGTCTGAGTCTGTCTGTCCTCCGTCCGTCGGGGGTGAGTGTGCTCTTGGCACGGACGTCCTTGAGGACAGACAGGAGGAGTTCCAGTGTCTTGCTGCTGCTTTGCCCCGTCTCGTGTCCTTGCTAGTTGCCCCTGAGGGAGACCCGGATGCACCAGACATCCCGACCCCACGCACTTACGCTGAGGCGATGGCGGGTCCCTACTCCTCTCAGTGGCAGACGGCCATGGACGCCGAGATGGCTTCCTGGAAGTCCACACGCACCTACGTCGACGAGGTTCCCCCTCCTGGGGCGAACATCGTCAGTGGCATGTGGATTTTCAGGGTGAAGCGGCCGCCGGGTTCTCCGCCTGTCTTCAAGGCGCGTTACGTGGCTCGAGGCTTCAGTCAGCGAGAGGGAGTTGACTTCTTCCAGACCTTCTCCCCCACCCCGAAGATGACCACTCTTCGGGTGCTGCTGCACATAGCCGCTCACCGCGACTACGAGCTTCACTCACTTGACTTCAGCACTGCTTTCTTGCAGGGCAGCCTGCACGAGGAGATCTGGCTGCGCCGCCCACCTGGCTTCACTGGGTCGTTTCCTCCTGGTACCCAGTGGAGGCTTCAGCGGCCGGTCTACGGTCTCCGCCAGGCTCCGCGTGAGTGGCACGACACACTGAGGACTACACTTGCGGCTCTTGGGTTCGCGCCTTCTACAGCTGACCCGTCGCTGTTCCTGCGCACCGACACTTCGCTGCCGCCGTTCTACATCCTCGTGTACGTCGACGACTTGGTCTTTGCCACTGCTGACACTGCAGGACTCGCCTACGTGAAGTCGAAGCTGCAGAGGAGACACACGTGCACAGACCTGGGTGAGCTGACAAGCTATCTTGGCTTGCGGATCACCCGGGACAGAGCACGGCGCACCATCACCTTGACTCAGTCACACATGGTGCAGCAGGTTCTCCAGCGCTTTGGCTTCACGTACTCCTCGCCTCAGTCCACTCCTCTGCCTACCGGTCACTCGCTCTCAGCTCTGCCTTCGGATGAGTCCGTAGAGCCGAGTGGCCCGTATCCAGAGCTTGTGGGCTGCCTCATGTACCTGATGACCTGCACTCGACCTGACCTTGCATACCCTCTTAGCATCCTTGCACGCTATGTCGCTCCTGGCCGTCACAGGAAGGAGCACATGGATGCCGCTAAGAGGGTGTTGCGCTACTTGTGCAGTACGTCGGGCATGGGGCTTGTGCTTGGAGGGCGAGACCGAGTTGTGCTCACAGGGCACTCAGACGCTTCTTGGGCAGACGACCAGGCCACTCAGCAGTCGTCTCAGGGTTACACCTTCAGCCTTGGCTCTGGCTCAGTTTCTTGGCGCTCTACACGCTCTTCTTCTGTTCTCGGCTCCAGTTGCGAGGCTGAGATCTACGCTACAGCCATGGCTGCCCAGGAGCTACGCTGGCTGACCTACCTGCTGACTGACCTCGGAGAGCCGCCTCGTTCTCCTCCAGTACTGTACGTCGACAACAAGGCTGCCATTGCCTTGTGTGAGGAGCACAGACTGGAGCACAGAATGAAGCACATCGCTCTGCGGTACTTCCTTGCTCGAGAGCTGCAGCAGCGCGGTCAGCTTTGTATTCGCTACGTGGCCACTGAGGCCAACACTGCTGATGTGTTCACCAAGGCGCTTCAGCCTCGTGACCATCAGCGCTTCTGCACTCTACTAGGCCTTGTGCCTACTGGACCTCACTTGCTTACCTCTTGACTTTGCTTGTACTGTGATCACTATATATATCTATACCTGCATGTTTACTCTTGCTAGGTTGTGATCACTGTATCTCTGGCTCTGTTATAAACCTGCATGTGAACTGGTCTTGTGACCACTAGCTTGTGCTCGGAATTTGTGTGGAATCCTCGAGATCCACCCTGAGCTTGTTGTTGCCTTGCTTTGCCTTGACTGGTCTTGTGACCCCTAGGTCTCCCCCACTTTGCCTATGGGGGTGTGTCAAACATTATATATGTTGGGTTTGTTAGGCTACAGTGGGTTAGCCTATATGGGGTACACAATTCTAGGGTTTGCTATTTGTACTGATTTCTCTGTTAGTTCAATCATTCCAGTCTCTTCTTTCTGACAGTACATGGCACACAAGAATATAAATAAATAGCAGGAACAGACAATGCATACTATCTACGCATCTAAACATCTAAGGGGTGCGGTGGGCGGGAACTCAAACTGAGATGGATGAAATGAGACTAGGTGGCACGTCTGTGGACCTGCCGAAAGAAGGGGGGAAAGCCTCTTTATTGCATTCCCCCTTTTCGAATCTTGTCACAATCATTAAATTTAGAAATTTATTTTCTAAATTATTCATAGTGTGACAAGACTCTACAAGGAGTCTGCAATGCAGTCGTCATAGGGCAAGCGAAACATCACGGCAAAGGGCGGTGGCGAACACGGTTAACAGTGGTCGCATAACGGGTGGTAGAGCTTCGTCGAGTCGGATCCTGCATATGCCGAGATGCGTGAATCAACTCCGAGTCAAGTTGGGTGATGTACATCTCCTTCGCACCATCGTGTCAGAGTGCCACTGGTGATCCCCGATTGATCCTAGGGAAGGGTTACAGGCGTGTTGGCTTGGGGGGTTATGGGCGCACTCACCCGCTATATAAACAAGCCCTTTTA